TAGGTATGTAACATTCTTTTATTACTTTACTCAAATTTCACCATTTGGTAGAAATTTGATAACGAGAAATCGTATCGTATAATTGCTACATTTTAAATCCATTTTCATACTACATTAATCCATTTAACTCTCAATTGTTCCGAGTTTTTATGTATTTTCACAGGTACAACATATTTCAAGTCAATTTAGTGAAAGAGATCATATGAAGAAAGCTAACATGAAAATCAGAAGAAAATGGACAAATCTGCAAAGTCCTGCAGATTTTGAAGCTATGACGGTCGTCACACATCTATTACGAGCGTAACGCGCTCACATAATGAAGAATGGTCGTCACACATCATTGACGAAGGTAACGCGCTATTTAAGCGTATTATGACCGTCACCTTAGCGTTACGACCGTCACGCGCCTAAACTAACGTTATGGAGAACGTGGAGACGTGGGCAACGTAAGGAAAGGAGTATTCACTCCTACAATCTCTCAACCCCACCAACGCCCAACCCTAGTTTTTCTCCACTAAAGAAGTACAAGTCCACGTTCCTATTATTTCTTAACTGCCAATTCCTCCTCTATAAATAGGAGAGATTTTAATGAAGAGATACAGAGAGTTTTTTTTTTACAGAATTTCTTGCGGAAGCCCTGCCAAATTTACGAACCATCAGTTTGCATTTTTTTGTTCTTGTTTTATTTCCCTTTTTTTACCATTTAATAGCCATTTCCAACATTAGGAAATTGTTATTTTAGTTAGAATTTATTTTTAGCCTCAGACTTCGTTTCAAGCTTCGATTCCGAAGGTTCCAATCTTGCCGACTTGTGGAAGAGGGAGCTTGAGGAATAATATTATTATTCATATTTTTAATCGCATTTAATTTAAATTTTAATACAATTTATTTACGTTAAATTACTGTTATTTATTTATCATGAATGTTTTATTGTTTCCCGATTATATATCCTGTATGTTTGTTTCAAGTACCATGACTAGCTAAATTTCTAAAGTCGGGATGTGATAATAGTAACTAAATGGATTAAATTGTTCCTAAGCTAAAATCCAAATTAACTTAATTTCTGGCTGTGACTTTTTATAATTAAAATCAATCTTTTTGTTACGAGAGTAAGAAAAGTAGAATAGGTTAGGATCAAGACCACGAAAGTGTGAGGTTTTAACCGGATAGCTAAAGTTAGGCATTTGATTTAAATACAGCGAGAGCGCTTTAAAACGAATTAGATTTTATTAAGTTTTCAAAGAGTATTTTCTAAACACTTATGGGCTAGCGAGAGCAGGCATGGGGCTTTAGGGGTATAATCCGAGATAAGACCACGAAAGTGTGAGTTGAGGATTTTTAAACTGATAATTTCTACAGAACCATCTAAGTTAAACATCTTTATATGCTTAGGTTCGATTAAATCCACTTAAATTCACTATATTACATACCGACCGTTTTATCATTATTATATTATTCCCTTAATCGAATTAGTTTTCCTATACTCTAACCTCTAAAAAACCAAACGTGACAACATCCGCCTTAGCTGAACTAGCAAACCTTTATAGCACTAGAGTGATTACAAAGTCCCTGTGGGTTCGACATCTTTTTATTACTACTGCGATAGGCTGTGCACTTGCAGTTAAGATATCGTTAGACACATTAAGTCGATCGTGACATCAAAAATCCCCAATTTATATTTGATATTCTAACCTATTTTTTCAAATAAAAAAAAAATCCATATGTCTAAGATTTGTTATGTAACCTTTGTTTTGGAAATTATGTTTGGATTGTTTATATTGTTGTTTAGTGCAGGTGTGACTTGTTTATTGTTAATCCATTGTTACGAGGTTTATTGCTTCATTCAACAACTGACATATTGGATTTCCTTACATTTGATTAGTTGATAATTTTTGTCTGATAATTCTAGAACTAGATTAAGTACTGATTTATATCCTAAACACTGATTATGAATTTCTTATTTATGTCATTGTGTAGATTCATTTGTTGATTAAGGTTAATCTTAAAGGAGTGAGAGAAAAAATTATAATAGATATTATAAATTAAAAGTATAATTTTTTATATAAGTCTCTCAAAAGATACTATTTAAGTAGTTTTAAAGTTGTTTCTGTCTTGTTCATAATACAAATTTTCAATAACTATAGCTATTACACTTCACCAAGCTAGTAGGTAAGTTTTGGAAGATTAATAACCTGTTAGACTATTAGCAACTCTAATAAGTTAGTTAGATCATTTCTCTATATGTATTTTATACAATATAAGTTTTCATTTTTGATTCATGAATAACTAGTATTTGAAAGTTATGTGAGCTTCTTCTCTATTTTCTTACTGTTGCCTTTGTCTTTTGTTTGTTCAATTACTCATGATTGGAGGAAAATTGACAACAGTGACATTTATTAGCTTCTATAAATTTGTTTAACTTTGAATGATTGTATCTTTTGTGTGTTGCTCCTAATTATTATATAATTTTCTACTGTATAATTACCTCATAACTCACTTTAATTAAAGATCATTTTATGTTTGTAGTGGAATAACTATCACTAATATGTTATTTATTATAGTTACAAGGTGAAATAGGCAAATATTAGTGGAGTATTAGATCTCACCCATGATATTTTTCTTTGAATATTCCTAAAATACATTAGTTTTTGTTCTTTTATTTAGAGTAAGTTGTTGTGAATATATTTATCAAATGCTTTGTTATTTGTTTAGAATGATTTGCTTATATTAATTTATGTATCATGTTCCTTGCAGAATGGAGACGAAGAAGTTTGTCATCAAGATATGTGAGAAGAACAAGAAAGAGGAGATGATCAAGAAGAAGAATATTATGATGCATGAGCTTAATTAATAGAAGTTGTGTTTTATATTATCTATCTCTTAGAACTTTTGTTTTGAATTTGGGATAGCTCTCTCGAGAGAAACTTGGTTTTGTTTAAGAATGATAATATCAAAACTTATCTATATTTTTGCGACTTATTGGTCAGTAGCGTCACTTGATGTATACTTACTTATTTCTTAATGAATATTTTGACATTGTGGCTTAATGTTTTTTTGTATAATTAGATTTTGATTTTTTTCTTCTCAATATCTACAAAAATGAGGATTCTTGTTGGAAGACATTTTATATTGATCTAAAATGGTTATTTATGTTATTGCTAGATTCGGCTATTCTTAATAAGAATCGTGCTAGATTCGGCCACTATTAATAACTGAGGCGCAAGATAAACCGCGATCTTAACCTAGATACCTAAATTGTGACCTACTCAAGCGACGAATGTTTAGAAAACATGACCCAAACATGAAAATCGTGGCGTATAATTTAGGTCACGACTACAAATCCCACAGTCACTTATTCGCGGTCAAATTACAACCACAATTATTTTGTATATAACGGCAGTTTTTTGGCCGTGGCGAATGATTTTTTTTTTGATACTGTTTGGTATGAAAATATGACATGTCAAATATCACGTCTGATGCCACATAGACAAACATAAACAACGTTTATAAGAATTAAACGTAAATGATTTAATTGACAATGTTTAAAGACATAAATAAATACATTAGTCTTTTTAAAAATTAAGGGACTCAAGATAAAGTTAAAGAACCAAAAAAGATATTTTTTCTATTACATATAATCTAAGTTATATAATCCAAATCCAAGCTCAATTAGAATTTATTAACTCACTTAATATACAAATTAATTATATATAAATAAACTAATTTATAAATCAGTTTATAATAATTTAATTAATAATATAATCTTTATTTCTTTATCCTCTCTTTCTCTCTAAACCCTCACGTACTAATATTAAATAATATATTTCATATATTTATAATATTTCCCCTATCATTTATTTACATCTAAAAGAAATTCTCCTCTTCTGCCTGCCCATTCATTTGGGTAAACCAAGAGACTTGTATAGGTGCCAACTAGACCTTCAAAGAAAGGTGTACGGCCAAGATTTATTCTTACTATTTTCTATCCAAAACTGCCAGAACACCACTAATAAAGTGGTCTTCTCCTCCAAAATTTAATATTTTAATTAATTAGTATAAATCTTATTACAAAGTTACACTAACTTTTTAAAAAATATTCAATTTCTTACGTACATAGTACACTCCTATACTCCTATATAAAAGAAAACTAACTCACAAACACCTTCCCATATTCTCTCAAATCTCACAACTCATACAACCTTTTTTTCTTTTCCAAGAAACACCTGAAAGCTGAAACCTCAAACTCAAAACCTATCCTTCTTTCACAAACACTATACCCTTTATTCCTTCACCTATCTTCCCTTCTCCCATTTCAAAAACTCATCAAATCTTGAACAAAAAAATTCCCTTATCTTTTTCACCATCATTCTCTCATTAATCTCAAACTTTACGTTACTCCCGTTCTTGGTCAAATTTTGTAAGTTCTGTTTCCCACCACTTATTCACTTTTTTCATTTTCCTTTTAGCAACACTTTGATATTATTAGTAATAGTTATTTCTCTTCCTTCTCAAAACCGTCACACATCACTCTATTTTAGCAATGCCATTGACCCACGTTTTCATAACTTCCTATCCATGTTTCCTTCTCTTCCATAATAATAACTACTCTCATAGTTTTCCTTTTGTATTGCCTTTCAAGAAACTCAAACCTATATATACAGTTTTTTTTTTTTTTCAATATGTAAAGCACAAAACGGTGAACTTTCTCTATATATAGTATTATTATATCTTAAATATTATAGTACATGCATTTTTTTTATACTCAAAACATGTCCCCGTTCTTCCTACAACTAGTTTTTTTATACTTGAAAGTCTCTTATGATATTATATTTTTCCATATTTTATATTTTTTCATATATGACTTGATTCAAATAATGATTTTTTTCTCCAAATGGAGTTATTTAATTTATTGGTTTTCCCTCTTAGATAATTTTCTGATCACTGTATTAATATCTTATTTATTTTCCTTAGTTTTAACTGATCTAGAAGGTGAAGTTGCAATGAAAATAGAATCCAAAAAAACCAAGGTATTCATTCATTCACACACTCTTGTTATCTTAACCTATATGACTATGCCCATAATAATACACTATTTTTCCATAATCTCACTGATGCAGATTTTTTTATTTTTTATTTCATTTTGGTGTTGCAGTCATGGTCGAAATTAGCTATTAGGAACTGGCTTAGTGCAAAGAATAATAGTTCTGAAAAAATTTCTTTAGACTACACTATTGAAGGTGAAATTCTAGTATTTTGTTTGAGTTAAGTTTTATTAATTTCACGTTTTTTTCATGCAAAGTGAATATATTTTTTTTAATCTTTGTGGGACTCACTCAGACTCTGCGACAGAAACAAGAAAAAGTTGCTCAGAACAAGATAGTTACATCCTCGTACCAGATGATTTCTCTGGTAACTTACCAACACTTTTGTTATGATTTGAAAATTTTTCTATTTTTTTAATACCTAAATAGTTTCTCCGAAGTTTGGATCTTATGTTTTGCAATAGATTTTGACTTAATACTTTGTCATTTTTATTTTTTAATATAATAATTTTATTATTATTTTTCTTCTATTTTTTACCTTCTATATTATTTTTAATATATTAATAAAATTAATTTTATAAAAATTATGACAATATCATTATATTTTTTAACTTATGTACAAAAACTTTAAACGATATTTATTTTAAAACATATAGAGTATTTGTGAAATTAAATTTTATATTAAATTCTATAAATTTTATATTAAATTCTACAAATTTCAATGTAAAATTTTACAATCATCAATCAATATTCATTGTGTCTTCTTTTAATTCACACGATTATTTTCAAATCAGTGATATGACATAGATGAGTATTAAATTTTTGAAAAAAAAATCTATTTTGACACTCCTTTTAATACCTACACGGTAATGATATAGGAAAAATTATTATTTTAATGATTTATCTAATATCGGTTTCCATGCCAAAATATTTTACATTATTGGTAGATACGGTGTAGATAAATGTGTATAAAAATACTGTCAAAATAACAAATTTTTAAATTTTTACTAGACGATGATATAAAATAATTTTACAATCTTAATATATATTTTCTCTGTCTTATATTATAAGAAAATATTTTGTTCAGCACTTTTATTTATATGTATATTTTTCGGACACATTTAAAAATAATAAAAATAATTTTTACGATTATTAAGAAATTCAATTAGATATAGTTACTTTTTTAGATTTCAGTGAAAACATTAATTAAATTTGCTATAATATCATATCTTAAGAGAATGTTAGAAAATGAAATACAAGAATATATTAAAAATTATAATATTAAATAATTTTATAATAATTGACTTTTATTTATAATAATGGTTAAATATCACAGATTTTTATTGTTTATAAATATATTGGGAGAATGGATGAATTTTTAGTAGTTATTGTCATTTATTTACATCATCGACTAATTAATATTTGACCCTTATTTTCAAAGGGTGGTTGAAGCATTCTCCAACTAACGTAAAACGTTCGGTCCTTGAAGAGAAAAAAGCTTGTGCCATCACCAATCCTCTAAACCTTAGGTAAATGTTACCATCATACTCGTATCTTAAACAACCATGTGGCTATACTATAACTTTAGGTTAAAAATATATGCTTACCTTAATTAAGCAAAACATATCTTATGCATTATTATTGTTACTACTATTGACAAATTTGAATAAATTATTATGTAGGATGTTTGTTGGGACGTGGAATGTTGGGGGGAAGTCACCAAATGAAGATTTGGACTTAAGGAATTGGCTTACGTCTACTTCGCCAGCTCACATATATGTTATTGGGTATTTTTTTTTTCTTTTCAATATTTTATATTTAATCTTATCAACTATGTTCCCTATTTGGCAATCTACCACTAAACAATTATTACTATTTTTTAATTTATTTTTTATTTTTTAGTTAGATACCATTCAATCCACCTGTTTGATTTTATGCATGAATTAATTAAATTAAACATGTTTAAATAATCTAGGAGTGCAAGTTTTATCAACACCTGTCTTATGGATTGTCTATGGCGGCTTGTACTGTTACAACTATGGTAGAGTGTTTGGATTTTAATATTGGGTGCAGTTAGATTTTGCACCATGATTAAATTATTCTTTCATCACCATACTTGTTTTGGAATATTTAGTTTTAATGTTTTAAACTATTTTTATAAAATAATTAAATAAATTTTTTTATTATTTATTTTTGTTAATTCAACTCAATTGATAATTATGCAAAAACATTTGATTGCAGATATGCGAAACAGATCGATATATTTCTGTACCGAGTCTAAATTTTGTTGTATTGATTTTCCTAGGTTTCAAGAAATTGTACCTCTAAATACTGGGAATGTGCTGGGGTCAGAGGACAGTGGTCCAGCAATAAAATGGTTGGGCCTTATTCATGAAGCCCTAAACACAACCAACCATGAAAGCCCAAATGAGAAGCAATGTTTTAGCCTAGTAGCAAGCAAGCAAATGGTTGGTATTTTCTTGTGTTTGTGGGTTCGCACCGATTTTCGCAATCATGTTAGTAATTTAAAAGTGTCTCGAGTTGGCACGGGTATCATGGGCTATTTCGGAAATAAGGTTTGTTAATGAATTATAAAATGAATAATGTATTTGGTCTATATATATTATATGAAAATATGTGATTTTAAAATTAATTATAATTGATGTTAATTATTTTATTAGGGTTCAATATCAATTAGCATGAGATTGTATCAAACTACATTCTGCTTTGTTTGTACTCATTTGGCATCTGGAGAAAAATGTGGTGACGAGTTGCGAAGAAACTTGAACATCTCGGAAATCATCAAGAGGACTAAATTTTCTCACTCACTTGGCATACTAGAACATGAGTAAGTCATATGAATAATGATTCTAATTATTTACGTTAATTCTTTTTTTGTATATAAACTTAATAGTAATAATTACTAGAAACTCACGCACACAATCGGGTCCGTGAGTATCAGAGTTTGAATCCTAATGATAACATGGTTACTTGAGCTAGTTAGGATTTACAAACTATTCACATTCTCTTTATTAATTAGTTGTTAATTCGGTTGGTTTATGTGTAGTAACATTATTTGGTTGGGAGATTTGAATTATCGACTGGCCGCGGGTTACGACGACATACACGAGCTACTAAAGAAGAAGAATTTGAAGGCATTACTAGAGAAAGATCAGCTAAGAATGGAGCAGAAAGCTGGAAGAATATTTGAAGGTTGGAATGAAGGAACCATATATTTTGCTCCTACATACAAATACTTAACAAATTCAGATCAATACGTTGCACAAACATGTAAATCCAAGGAAAAACCACGCACTCCCGCTTGGTAAGATTTTTTGATATTTCCTAGGTTTGTTGAATTTAATAATTCATGTCTTTTGTTAAAAATAAGAATTTGGTTGAAAACTTTGAAACAGGTGTGACAGAATTCTGTGGAAAGGAGAAGGATTGAATCAGAAATTGTATGTTAGAGGAGAGTCAAAATTCTCTGATCATAGGCCAGTGTATTCATTATTCACAGCACAAGTGAACATGAACATGAACATGAACATGACAAACAAGAATCTTACTCGTTCTGCTTCTACTACTGTCTCAAGATCATGTTCCTTAAAACCATTCACAAATTCTTCTTCATTGTCTTCTACTTGTTGTTGTGTTGCTGCTAAAGTACAAGCTGAAGAGCAGATTATGTTACTTGCAACTAGGGCACAGAGTTGTATAGACTCTATTACAAGATTCTTGTAGTAGTTTGATTGTGAGTACTTTTCATGTGTAGATGTGTGATTGGATGGTTACAGAATTGGAGATAGGGCTTTTTATATGGGATAGTGATTTGTTATGCAGCTTTTTGGAGCATAATGGATTTGTTTTTTTGAGTTGATTGATGATCAATGTTGGAATGGGAGGGACATAATCTGCAGCTCTGGTAATTTTTGAGCTGTCAATATGCCATACGGCATATAATAGGTTTTGAGAAATATAGTTTTTGTTAAATTTGAAATAGTTACTTTAAGGATTATTATAAATTAGTAGTATAGATATATGTCTATTACTATACTATTATCCAACTTGTATAGATATATGTTTATTAGTATTATCCAACTTGTGTTGTTGTTTACTTTTATAAGGATTGTAAGGAGGTTGTAATACAAAATGTGTTAAGGAAAGGGTCAAATTTCCCCGATAAACTTATTTTGTACATGGTAGATTGTTGTGAAAAATCTAATGTCCAAATATTCAAACAAACTAAATTATATGATGCTTGGAAAACAATGCCACATTAATTAGAGGTATCAAACAATAATTAATCTATTAATAAAATGGATTTAAAATATAACATATTCAAGAATATTTGGATGCGAGGGTTAGAGATTTCTTTCAGTTGAATCTCTAATTTTAGATTCGAACTCAACTATGGGCATCTAGTAGTGTTGAAGTCTCCTGAGAAAGAGTTTTATCATTCATTGTGGTCTTTACCGGTTCGAGGGACTTATCTCTATAGAGAATACCAAGTTTTTTAAAAAAAACACCAATTTAAAATATAACGCAATCACTCTTCAACAAGTTGATCAAGTTCAAACAATGTTTGACTTAATTTGTCCAGTGATTCACTCGCCCTAGATTAATTAGTTCAACAATCATGAAAGTCTTGATTAGCTAATAATGCATTATCAATAACACTAAATCCATACAAACCAAAAAATTGAGATCATTTAGCAATTATCAATACACATACAAAATATTATGTTCGAGAACAAGCCTCATGTTGTGTAAAAGTAATTCATGATTATCAAACATCTGGAGTTGAACCGCTCAAATCCATTGTTGTGGCTAGGGATGGCAATTGTATCCATCCCCAACGGGTGCCCTCAAAAATCATCCATAATGGGTAGAGTAAAAATCTGCAAAATAGGTACAAGCATGGACACTGACAATTACCCATAAAAATAAGCGGGTATGAGTGCGGGTACGGGTTACCTTAGTACCTATCCCGCCTCATATTCGTGTTAGACGATAGGCTATGATCTAGAATGGGTTGAATAAATCGCAAATAGAATTTTTAAATTAAAATTATGTTTTAAAAATGTTTAAACTATAGCGCACAAAAACAAACTCAGATCGACAATCGTCTATCTGAACTGTTATCGAAAAGACCGGATGCGCGTTAAACCGATAGAACAAGTTTATGTGTGATGAGAAAAACAACCTATATATTTCCAGCTAACCATGTTTGAATAAACCACACTATAGATATCAATTTTCAATAAAATAATTGACAAAATCAACTAAGATAATTTGTCAAACACTTGACTTGCAATCGACACAAAATATATTTTTGTATGATTTTGTTGATATTAAAAACCAATTACAATCACATAGACTGTAATCAAATGAACAAAACAATTTCAGAAATTAAACAACAAGTTTATCTCAATGTATCAATTGCACAATCGAATTTTTCACAATTTGCTATTAAACGTAAAATGGAGAGTAAGAGAGAAAGAGAGAGACACAAGGATTTGTTTAGGCAATTCTCCAATCGGCCTTGCTATGGGTATGTATGTCCCCAATTCCGTTCTAAATTGAGATAATAAAAATTAACCTTTGCAAATTATGGATTACAAGAGTCGATAAATAGCTCGTGGGAGTCGACTCCTTCGTGCTTTGTATCTTGTCCAAAGTTCCTGGGAGTTCACCCATCTGGGACAGAGACTATTATTAGAATTTTCTTTCAGTAGGAGCCGAGACACAACTCGAGGGAGTCGACTCCTTCAGCTATTTATCGACTCAAAAGACTGCATGTGTCGACCCTTCCATGGCAGAGAAATGCAACCTAAACATAGAGGGACACCGTCCAATATACAAGTACTACAAATTTTCTAGCTTTGACATCATTCAAAACATTTAAGAAAGAATATTGCACTCACATACTCCCCATTTTTGATGATGGCAAAACATGTGACGTGTTTGTAATCTCTAATCATATCTCCCCTTGAATATGTGCATCTTTTATTTTAACTTTCTTTTAACATTTGCAACCAAACTTTGTTCTTTTGTTCTTGAATTGTATAACTTATTCCCCTTTGATAACATAAAAAAGAGACAAAAGCTATAAAAACGTAAGAAGCATCAAGTAAAACACACACAACGTCATATAAACCACTCAGAGGCGTTGTAAAGATAATCTGATCACTTAAAATAGCACTCACATAGGATGATGTTAAAGTGACAATGTCTAAACATAAAAAGCCAATGCATGAAAATGCAAGAGAGATCAATAACATGCCCAACAGGAAAGTATAAGGAAATAAGAGTTTATCCCATGAAATACAAATGATAATGAAATGCAATAGATTAAAACATGAAGTCACTATAAGCATATGGATTCAAAACACTCAAGGTTAACAACAAAAGTTTTGGAAGTGAACATTCATGGGATTGCCTTACACATCAAATATATCGCATACATTTGAAACATAAATATGCAATCAAATTAAAAGAGACATAGACAAGCAATGATAGAAATAAAGACTTACAAACAAAGAGATAAGTAAAATATGGGAGGACATACGGAGGATGCACTCACAATAACTAGAACTTTCGAATGAAGGTTAAAATAATTGTATAGAGAGTGCTTGCATCAAACTATTAAGGAAAAAATTGAGATATCGAGAATGTCCAATTCTTGATAAATATTAAAAAATAGTTTGGTCGCAAGAGGTTTTGTTAAAATATTGGTAATTTAACTTTTATTATCAACATGCTCAAATACGACATCCTCTTTTTCAACATGATCACGTAGGAAATGGTGATGTATCTCAATATCTTTAGTATGCGAGTGTAGCACATGATTTTTAGTTACGTTAATAGCACTAGTATTGTCACACATGATTGGAATACATTGAAGTTTAATGTCAAAATCAAGTAATTATTGTTTGAGCCACAAAACTTGAACGCAACAACTACCCGCAACAACGTATTCCGCCTAAGTAGTTGACAAGGCAACAAAGACTTGCTTATTGCTATGCCAACTTACTAAAGAATTTGAAAATAAGTGGCCAGTTCAACTAGTGCTCTTCCTATCCAATTTGTAGTCAGAAAAAGTCAAAATCGGAGTATCCAACTAAACTACAATTGCATCTTTTGGGATACCAAAGCCCATACTTAGAAGTACCATGAAGATACATAAGAATACGCTTTACATCTTTTAAATTTGATTCCTTGTGAGCGGATTGATATCGAGCGCACATGCATACACTAAACATAATGTCAGGCCTAAATGCAGTAAGATATAATAGAGAACCAATCATACCAAAATACATTTTGATGTTAACATCCTTATTATTTTAATCTTTGTCCAAATTTTTATTTGTGGGCATTGGAGTGTCAATTGACTTGGCATCTACCATTCTTAAGCATTTAATCAACTCTCAACAATACTTTGTTTGACACCCAAATGTCCCTTCTTTGATTTGTTTGATTTGACGTCTGAGAAAGTAGTTTAACTCCCCCCATTAGACTCATTTCAAACATTCCATGCATTATCTCAAAAAACTCTTTGACTAATTGCATATTAGTAGAACCAAATATACTATCGTCAACATGAATTTGAATGAGAAGAATAAGTTTTCCTTGATGTTTAATGAAAAGTGTTTTATCTACCTTCCTTCTAGAATATCCTTGATTATGTAAGAATTTACTAAGTCGCTCATACCAATCCCCAGGGACTTGTTTGAGAGCATACAAAGAACGTTTTAGTTTAAAGACATGATTAAGATACTCATGATTTTCAAAATCGGGGAGGTTGTGAAACATTCACCTATTAATTAATGTAACCATTGAAATCACTTTTCACATCCATTTGAAATAATTGAAAAATGTAAAATATAGTAAAAGGTGAAAAAAAAAACACTAATATGAGTTTAGCATCAGATTGGTGTCGGTATCGGGCATTGGATAAAATCCGCAAAGCTACTGAGTATCATCGGTTATAGAAAAGCTTAAGCTAGTTATCCCCAGGTAAACCAAGGCTTAATGGACACTAACAAATCCGACGTTATATTTTTCAAAAAATATGAAAAGTCAACAATTATGCTAAGCATTTCCCATGCCAACTCTAAAGTCAATATAGAAAAGTCAACAATTATGTTTAGCGTTGCGTAGAACGTCTTTAAAGTAAAAAAAAGTTAACAATTTCTGCTAGAGTTGGATTTCCAACATAAAAAAAGTCAACAATTACGCTGTGTCAGCTAAGTCGACACTATAGTCAAACTTTAAAGTCAGCAAATATTTTTAGTGTGGGCCTGACCGACACTAAAGTCAAACTTCACAAGTCTACAATTTTGTAAAAGAAACTACCCTCAGATAAACATACATAATTTTTTTCATAATAGTGGTAATTAGGTATTTTTACAGTACTGAAACATGCATTTGGAAGAAAATGAAGGTTCAAGACTAACCATTCATCTTAATTTATGTACCTAGATAGAACATAAACAATTGATGAGCTCAAATTTTCTATTGACTCAAACAAGATCCTTCAGTCTCATCTTATTATATTCCATCATCTTAATATATTTCCATCCCACACGGTAAACAAAGTATTAAACAAGTCAATGGAATATTAATTCTATAAGAATGAACAAAAATATGTTAAGTATTTGTTCGAACTATATCTACCACGAGTTATTGGTGAAAAGTGTAGGAAGAATATCCCAAGCAAACTCTTCTGATTCTCACACCAA